TAGTATGGCTGGTTATCACTCCAGTAGCACCCTTTGTGGATTATAATCGATTTCAGCCCATTTGTAAAACTGCTTCATCATTAAATGTTGTAATAATGATTTAACTCTCGAGTAGTCATTGCAAGTTATTTCTATTTTATGGAAAAATTGTCACATGCTACTTGAGCTCACCAATGACGCTCACACATATGACAAAAAAAACAAAAACAAAAAAAAAAACAACACACCACACCACATTTTCATCCCCTTTGCAGTGATTTCCAAAAATTTACATAAAATAAAATATTTGAAATATCTTCATCTTTGTTTTCTGATATAATCATGTTTCTGTACTCCAAATACAGAAAAAAAAGAGAGAAAAATTGTGTGAGTCAGATATTTAAACTGATGATATGTTTTTAAACTGATAGAGATATTTAAATAAGTTAACATTATCAAGCAACTATATGTGTGGTATTAAAACATTCTTTTTTAACGAAGCTAAGGATTTCTGTAGTGGTAAGGGCGTCGTTGTTTATATGTACATGTACGATATTTTTTGTCGGCAACTGAGTGAAAGTTTTATTAATAGCTGTGCCATTGTTTTCTTTAAGTGATAGAGAACTGGAGAAACTTTTAAACTGTTTATTTTAAGTGGAAATAAATTAAAGATAGGAATGAGAAAAGAAATCATCGCTCCTTTATTTAATCAGTTAATCTGACATGCGTACTAAATTTACAAAAGAATTGGCCATGGGAACCAACAGTTTCTTACATAATTGTTACGCAACATTCGCCTTGGGCCACACTCGACATCTAGAGACTGTTTTGTTTTGGGGAAGAAGTTATAGTGTTTTTAAAACTCAATTATCATCACCTCGGCTCGTCCGCCTCGGTTATTTGTCATTAATGGTAACCTCTCGATTTCATTCCAAAATCAAAGACTTTTTCCAGCCCCTAGGCAACGCCCCTATAATTAGATCCAGGGGCGATAACTCATCCATCGCGTGGGAACCACTCTTGATGTGTTAATAACGAGGGGATCTGTCATTCATTCTACTTGAGAGTTGACGTTGATCAGAGAACCGGACACTACTTCATTTAAACAATTGAATGTTCAAAATTTACAAAAGATAATCATGTAAAGTTTGGTATTTGATTATTAATGACTTCGTAATCATCCAATTGACATTGAAGTAGAATAGAGCCATCTTAACATATTTTATGCGTAATGTTTGAGAACAAGAAATCAGGAATGTTTTTGATTTCTCATTTGTATAAATTAATTTACCTAAAGCAACTAATAATGATAATATTAATTTTGGTATTGATTCAATCGAACTTATAGACTTATTCCTCATTGATTGAACTATGACATGACGTATCTGAAATGCAGACTGGTTTTAAATCTCATAGGAACATAATTTCTCTTTGTATTAAGATATTAATTAACATTTGTTCAAAATAGATGCCCGTAGAAAAATATTTAAACTAGATTTCGCCGTAAGCATATTCGAGCAAATTTGTAATTAAATATTGTGTTATAGACGAACTTTGGACGAGGTCACTTGCTTATGTAAAATTACGCGAATTTTTTTTTCAAATTCAGTAAAGCTGTATGATGCCTGAAGTGATGGAGGTTTGATTGACTTGTAACATATTATTTCTATCATATAAAGGATAGGTAAATTGCTATCTATCATTGTACACACAGAACTGTACTTACAAAGTAGCTGTTCATACTTATCTATTAACTTACTATCATCAGATGTTTGTCATTGACTAGATGTGGCTTTGTACCTATTAGTTTATTGTTCGAGGTAATTTAGAACTGGAAATACTGGCCATATAAGTCATTACAAGAAGAGAAGTCTTTCACCGAATTCAGTTGAACCTGGGGTTTAAATTGCTTAATGTTATGCTTGGAAAATTAACTGTTTCTTTTTTATGTGAAAACCAAATGAGGTTAGATTCAATCCTTTGAAGATTGGTTTGGGTATTATACTTCGTGAAGTATTCATTAGAGTCGAGTCTAAGTCAATAAATACGTATTAGAATACAAATGGTGTAAGAGCAAGTCATTGCATAAGTCCAGGTTAAATCCTAATACGATACATGACGGTAATAGGGTTCGGTCATTCTTGTATAAAACTAGGTGTTATTGTTATTTTTCTCAAACTTTTGATGGAACGTGAATGAATAATGTTAAAAGTGTGTTGTTTTCTTCAACCAGCTGTTTATAGTCAGACCCCCAGAAGCAAAGAATTCACGAAATATTTACATTGTGGAAACGAACGAGTGACGTAGTTAGCCCAGGTGTCTGTTTGAACGAACTTCTCTACCATCACCAAACTTGACTGTATTTGAACGGGGTTTACGTGCGAAATTGAAAGATTAAAGAATGTCTACAGCCAGGGTTCGTTTCTGCACAAGAAGAGATTTTCAAGTCTCCTTCACTCAAAGTTTCACAACATTCTCTAGCAAAATGTCAGTTACCTGACGCATGCGTGTTAAAACCGTTATATTTCCACAGAACTGTATTTTTTCTCATATGGCAGGACCGGACATAGGTTTAGATTCCAGTCGACAGTTTTCGAGGGTACCTATACGTCACCTTTTGCAGGTGAACGTGACAAAGTTGTGTCAGGGTGCTAAATTACCGTTTCTCACGTACAAGCTCAATCATGTCGTAGTTTCAAAACTTAAACTTCTCAACACAGGTGTACAGCTAATTTGGCGGGGCTCATACAGTAGTTTTAATCAGGGAGTATAGATAGGAGTAGGAGCTTCAGGGTAATCCTTGTTCGTGTTAGGGGTCGATTGTTTGAAATGGCAGTCACTTATTAACGCTATATTTGGTAGTTCCATACAGCGTGAGCTGAAAATCATAATGTATAACGACCGTTGTCCGCAAGTAAAAATACCATGCTAGCACCGGACTGACGAGTGAGTGTTACCCCTCCCCCGTCAACACTTGGTAATGCTTGTCAGTGACTTAAGAGGGTTTAAGAGAGTTACGGGGTATGCAACTCGACAAAATTCATTCTCCTACCTTACATTGCACACATATCCGTTGGCTGCATATCACCCCGGGAAAGTTCTTCAGAATTTTCTGGCATGGCTTGCCCTTGTCAGTGGTGTAGGATGGAGGGAATGACAAGGACCAACGTATGGGACAAACCACAGAGGTCCGATGTGTACATTGGTGCGCAGGTATAAGATCTCTTGATAGTTGGAATTTGAAAAAAATAGTAGGCCAAATTTCCTTAATAGCACATTGTATGGTGTATGCCCGTCATCATTTGCCAGGTTGGCACAGAAAAGTCGGAAGTCAAAACGCATTTCAGAACTGTAGCACTGAAGAAACCCTTAAATTCAATGAATTCCCCTCCCTGTTAATTTGCTTTTGGCGAGCACTTACGTGGTATTACATTACCATTTCAAATATCTGACTTTCATTATTACTGTCGTTTTGGTAATTGGTTGGTATGGTGGTATCGCGAGAGTTACTTCAGATCTCAATCAATTACTATGTAATGAGGGTATTTATTTCTACCCATGCCCCCTCTCTCCAAATTAAATATATCGTTGGTTCTTACCTCATACTGATATCTGCAGAAAGTAGGGCGTTAAACCCCATATCATGCATACTGATATCTGAAATCCTGTATAGCATTACCGGTGAATGAATGAAATGGGGTTTAATTTCCTACTTTTCTGCACCAAAACTTTACTTATAAATAATATACTTCTAAGATGTGAGATTTAAGGGTCTGAATATATTTTGAACTTGATTGGATTATATTTTAAGGTGTCGTTATTAATTAATGTAAGTCTTTTGTCATTAATCGATTTTGTCATTTTTGAACTGAATCGCTCAAGAATAGCTGCGAAAACTTTATAAACTGACATGTGACTAGTGTGTGTTTCACGCTTTGCTATGTCAGTTTCAGTTTTCAATCAATTTGATTGACCCAAGAACGCGCTAAGCGCATAAAACGAACTATAACATAGCGGTGTTATCAGTTATAGGTTTATCGCACTGGAATCAACTTACCACCCATAATCGGCTCACTAACGATTAATGTATTCAATATTCAATGGACATAATTATATAATATGTATCGAAAGGTATGTTATATTTCTATTTGAGAAATCGATTACCGATATTATTTTCTATATTGAAGATTACCTGCTTTGTATACCGGTGCTAATTCCTTAGTAGCTTAACGCCTTTGAAATGATTTGCAGAATTGCGATTTTATCACATTCTAGGCATAATAATGTGGTTTTTTTTATACGTTTGGTCTTTAGTTATAGAAATATCGAAATTGAATCGCCTCAACTCTCTCGGGTTTGGTGTTTTTTTCTGGCGGCTTTGAAACCGCTTTCGGAGGAGTGATCATTAAACACGGAATTTGTAAAATAATATTCTGTTTTTACAAAAAATAAACCCGAAGAAAAAACATTCTAGATACCAAATTACTTCTTTTTACTTAGATAAGAAATCTGCAGATATCAAATCCACGAAACTTGCCATAACCAGAACCAATAAACCTCGTATAATTCTATAACAAATGCGCTTAGTTATTTTTAGCACGGTGTCAAACGGTAAGAAAAACTGGGGCCAGAAGTGTTAATAATTCTCCTGTTTTAGCCAATCAGATCGCGTCTTTTATCTCTGATTGCGGTCAGGTTTGACAGCTAAAAGCTGATATTCGATGAAACTTGAAGTGGGTGGTTTTCTTAGAGGTGTGGCTAACACCTTGGATTGATGATTGGCATAAAGATCCGCCTATTGACCCTCTTTCACAGTGACGGCTTCTTGAGCTCTCCATCTCTCAGTCAGTTTGAGTGTGGATTCGAAGCAGTACGTTTACTTGGATTATGTATAATTGTGATCAGTGATTTCCAGTATATAGGAATATTATTATCGATATGTAGACATTTTCTTGAAATATAATTTGTAAAATGGAGGTTGCACAATGATTGATGGCGTATGGTACGTTGTTTATTCACAGAGCACAGTGTGATCGACAAGCTGAAGCGGCGAAGGCCCTACCAAGCCAAACTGAATGGAAGGGCATGGGGACACGCCGTTTTCCTAGCCCAACAGTGTATCCTGTCCTTACCCTCGTCCTTCTACTAACGTTAGGAATTGCCTTAACTACAGGTAAGTGAATATATTTACGTTTTAACTTCAAATCACATCGATAAATGTAAAGAAATACATATGCGCATTCATATGCGCGAAGAATACCCTGATAATGGTGGACCATGACTAGCTTAACTGGTATACTATACGTATACTAGAAAAGAAAATATATATATTTTATAAGCGTGACAGTCTTTTGTATTAATTTTGTAAACAAATCTGAAATAAAAAATAAATATTTCTTTTTGTATTTTTCAGCACAAGGGCTGAGTGACAGAATTCTAGGGTGTGATATCGACACATGTGCTAAACAATTCCAAAGATTACAGTCAGTTGAAAACGGTGTTATGGGGCCCGATAAGGAATGCATAACTCTCAGAACATACTGGAACTGTATTAAGAAAAAGGTTCGAGATTGCAAGGGAGATTTAAATTATTTGACAGTTCGAACGGGTGTGAAAAATAGAATGGGGCAAAATAATTGCTCAAAAAATGGACGAACATTGGGTCCTGAAGATGAAAAGACTTCTGTACCTACTATCCCATCAGTATGTTCTTATCACGGGAAAAAAGTGTATAAACACTGTGGACTATTTGGGGATCCCCATTTGAGTACATTTCATGGAGATTTCCAAACATGTAAAGTGCAAGGAGCTTGGCCGCTTGTTAAAAACAAATTTCTACTAGTTCAAGTGACCAATGATCCGGTCACGGGAGAAAGTAGCGCCACAGCCACAAGCAAGGTAATATGATTTAATAATTATCATTAATCAGCACCATTATCTCCCATTATCAGAGTTAACACCCCTTTGGTTTCTCCCCTATATAATTATTCCAATCCAACACGTCGTTCTCAGTGGCAAGCTCAGGGTGTCATGGCCGCCAACACCTCCGAAGTGCGTGTGTAAACAATACACCGTCTTTTGTTCTCACCCAAAATCTTACCCCCTTTACATGTTCATACTTTCCTAATACATATTTAGATATCCCCACATATGTAGCTGGTATGTAGGGTAACTGGTTTGATAGTTTATTGAATGTGTAAAGATACACGTTTCGTGAGACAAAACTCGTGAGGATTTTTGCAGCATAGGTGAAATGGGGCGATAGAAACAAAATGGCGGATAAAGTGTGGTATCTGTGAACCTAGGTCATGTAGAGCAATGTATGCCCAACAGAGTTCATAGCTACCAAACGCGGTTTATTTTACCTTTTGTTAGAAGTATGTGTCGATAAATTATTTAGGTCAGTGTAGATGGTACAGAAATTAAGGAACAGTTTGAAGTAATAAAGCATGACATGCTGTAGGCCGATGTTATTTTCTAATTGAAGAATACGATGTTCAAGTAATTTCACAGTTTATCTGTTGGGCTTTGCACCCATCGTTTATTGATCGCTCAAAGTTAGTAAAGATGCTGTGTACACATTGTTACAAGAGAAACAATTAACAGAAAGGGGATTGTTTATTCCTGTTGAATATACGCCGAAACTTGAATACACAAGCAGTACACATCAGATATTTGCACAGGTGTTGATACAAAGTACTACATATTTTTATAATTTCATAATACAGGGGAATAAAATGTTTGTAATGTCATACTTGATACCAGTATATGGCTGAATGTCACCTCATATCTCAAATAATTGAGTTTATTATATATATACTACAGTGGTATATATGCCTTGGGTAAAGTAAACAACCTAATATATAATATAGGCCCTACCAACATAAGGCGTAACAGTTTGTTACCATACACATATTATATGCATAATTTAAAGTGGTCGTTCCAAGTTATTTAGTAACACTATTTGAATGAAAAATAAACAAAAACATAAGCAGATAGCACAATATCAGGGAGATTGTTTTCATGTTAAAGAGACTGAACGTCTTTGATTTTGGTACAAAAATAAGGTATTGCATTGGGTTGATCTAATATTAAAACATATCGTTACCCCACAAAACAAATCGACATATGAAATCAACAATGATCATTTTTAATTAAACTTTGAAAATATAGGGTTTAGGCCTATGCATTGGAGAAGAACAAAACACCAGATATTAATTCAGTATTATTGTCCATTCTAGCATCCGCGTCTGTCGTTGGTTCTCACGTATTATTTATCAGTATTCTTAATTTATATTAAGATGGATTCGTCTGTTTGTCTGTCTGTCTATCTGTCCGTCCGTCCGTCCGTCCGTCACACTTTTGGGGATACAATAACCCTCTTTCTAATTGAGCTAGAATGTTCAAACTTGGTGTTGGTGTTTATTAGGTCAATGCCTTGATGGAGTTCGAAGATGAGCATCCATATCAATATCATTACATTCTAATTAAGCTAGAATGTTCAAACTTGGTGTAGGTGTTTATTAGGTCAATGCCTTGATGGAGTTCGAAGATGAACATCAATATCAATATCATTACATCAATATCTTGACTAAGTTCTATAATGAGCATTTTCTGCTGAGGGTAGGCAGAGGGGAAAGCAATTTGATTGGCCGAGACATTGGAACACAATAACTCTCATTCTAATTGAGTTAGAATATTCACACTTGGCGTAGGTGTCCATTAGGCGAATGTGGAGTTCAAAGATGGGAATTTTCTGCTTAGAGTAAGCAGAGATAAGCAATTTGATTGGTTGATGCTTTGGGACACGATAACTTAAAGTAGCTAAGTCTTTAACTCAATATCATCAAAAATATTCAACATTGAAAACACGATTTATTTGTCAAATTAAATCAACATTCATGTTGTGATCTTACCGGAAAAAGATGGGCTTTTGATATCCAATATTTAAGACAAAATAAACATTTTACCATTGGTACACGAATCGTGTACCATAATGCGCTTCAGTCCCAGTTGTATCAAGAGACTCGATGGACGAGGCTAGACACATTGCACCAAATCAAACGGCGTATGTAGACAGGAATAACCAGACGCTAGAAATTTTCACTCGCTTGAGACTGCTGGCTTATTTCGCCGAACATAACTGATTTGAAATTGGAGTAAAAACGGAAACCATTGAATTTAAATCAGTTTATATACATTCATACTACATTATTATCAGTTTAAATCAGTTTATATACATTCATACTACATTATTATATGCGCTGCGACCCACTTTTGTCAATTTCTAGGTCCCAAATGTTAGCGATTTAGCTCCTTTAAGTTCTAATTACGTGAGAGTGAGAACACTTGGTGTATAGCTTAATTACATCAATACCTTGACCAAGTTCGATAATGAACATTTCCTGCTGAGGGTAAGCTGAGCGATACGCAATTTGATTGGTCGAGACTTTGGAACACAGTAACTCTCCTCCTACTTGGTGTAGGCGTTTATTAGGCGAATGCCTTGATGGAGTTCGATAATGAACATTGTCTGCTTACGCTAAGCAGATATAAGCAATCTGATTGATTGATGCTTTGGGGCACGATAACTTTGATTATAATGAAGCGAGAGCGATGAAACTCCGAATATAGATCCATTATATCATTACCTTGACTAAGTTCGATGGTGAGAATTTTCTGCTTAGGCTAGGGAGCGATAAGCAATTTGATTGATCAAGACTTTGGAACATAACAACTCTGTTTTTAATTGAGGTAGAATGTTTAAACTTGATGTAGATACTCGTTAGACGAATGTCTTGACCGAGTTCAATTATTAACATTTCGAGCTGAAGCTAAGCAGAACTAATCAATTTCATTGGTCGATGCTTTGGGACAAGATAGTCTTGATTCTACCTGATAGAGAGTGATGAAACTTAGTGTATAGTTTGATTGCTCGATACTTTTGAAAAAACTAAATGTGCGATTAATTTATATGTGTCATCTACAATGTATTTATTTTGGGATTTAGGCGGGGGACATCAGCCACGCTGTTGGTTTGTTAGTCTTTATTTAGTTAGCTCACGGTTCTGAATCTATCACTCTATTGTCTATCCATTCCAGAACACCAGACAGCACTTCTCATTGATTTCGAAAGTTAAACAATCACACATGCATACATGCAGCAAAGAAAAGTAGGACGTTAAATCCCATTTCATTCATTCATTCATACATGCAGTGAAGAAAAGTAGGACGTTAAACCCCATTTCATTCATTCATTCATGCATACATGTACTATATTGCACACCTGATTTTCATCATGCATATATTATGAATGAATGGGAAAATATAATTTTCTTTGGGTATTGAAAATTTGAAAACCCCCCACAAAAAACCCTTATAGATTTATATCTATATAAATGCAGAAACATTAATTACATGTATGACCTTGGCATTGATAATATAATTTACAGAGCAACTTGTTTATGTATTCTCTATTATTAAACTTAATTAAGAAAGAGTTCCACTTTAAGGGGAGCCAGTAGTGAGAAATATAATTAATACATGTAGATATGACCCATATACTATGTTTTATATGTAAAACACTTTCTATTACTTATGTAAAGCTACATGTATCTTTTATTTATCTTTTCAGTTAACCGTTGTGATAAAGAAAAATCAAGATTGTGCTATCGAGCCCTACTTAATGTATCAAGCCCAGACAGATGCATTACCAGGCGCTTTTCATGATGGACACACTCATTATGGACCACATAAAGCAGTGGAATTATTAGAAATCGAAGAAGGAAAACATGTAGAAATTCACATTAGATATATAGCAACAACTATCGTTGTGAGACAAATTGGACGATATTTCACATTTGCCATTAAAATGCCAGAAGAAATAGTTAACAGCACAAAGGGTGATTCGAATTCGGGTTTGTGTGATCGAGGGTGTCCAGCACATGAACGCATAAATTATCAGGAATACTTAGCAACGAGACATAAAAAAATTGATAATCTAAAAGAAGATAGTGCTATTAAAGTTCAAATGCCGCGCTCGGACGCAGAAGGCATTTGCCGTGAGGCTAAAGTGGTGGACTTTTATTTCGATTCTTGTGTGTTTGATCTTATGACAACAGGTGATAAAAATTTTACATTAGCGGCACTGAGTGCTTTACAAGATATAATAAAATTAGACCCTTCTATAGTTAACTCCCAGCTTAATAGGACTGATTTTAGAAAATATGACAAAACATTTGGGAATGGTGCCCCACCCAGGACTGGTCTATCATGGATACTAGCCTTCACTGTGTTATTGTGTGTATTATCTTGTAGAAAAGTGCATTAGTTGTGTAGACTTATTTTTTTTTTTTTTTAGAAAAAAGTGCATGTCACAACACTTACTGTGTATATAAAGAAAGGGTGTGAAAGTGTTGTGCCAACTTTATATTAATATGGACATTTCTACACTTTGTGTAGCTGTGTTTTATCCACAAGTACCTCATTTTAATAGGGGTAGCTCTTGTAGAGTTACCCTGGGTGGGAAATCATTGCATTTTTGGGGGGTTGGGGAATTATTTATATCTTTGAACAGTGAGCAGATTAAGATAATCCCTATTAGACACAAAATCAATGAATATTTCTTAAGCCTTTAATCAGTATTATTGATATTCAATTCTCTTTCATTTTAGTTTTGTTGTAGGATGGAGTATCAATGAACAAAATATGTATACGTTTATTTTAATTTATGCTAATCTATGGAATATAAATTTTAATGGTCCCATTAAAAAGAAAATAATGTGTAATAGATTGCCTTATTTACATAGACAATGACATCATTATGTAAATTAGGTAAATGTTAATCTGCTCACTGTATAGAGAATACTTTATACATATATTGGAATAATAATTAATAATAATAATGGTGACTCTTTAATAATTATCGAGTTCATCAAATATTTTATACTGAATTCAATCTGTCATGATATAAAAGTTTAAAAAGTGAAAACAACCCTTGTGTACTTGTCTCTTTCATTGCAAATCCATTTAAGTATTTGTCAATGGGAAATGGAGAAAACAGACATGGAGTCGGTTGAATATAGTCTTTAATACATGTAAACACACCTTAATGTGACAGTCTCGTCAAAAATTTGGCCATTGGAAACCAACTATCAATGTATAATATTACGTTGATTTACTGCCAGTACATGTACATGCACATGTACAAATGTATGTAGTGAAACACAAATCATAATAGTAAATATAGCAAATACAAATTCGTTACATATATAGAAACATACCATAAACAAACTATAATCATGACATGTAGACTGTATAGAATCAAACCATTGTATAAAATCAAACCATAAACATTACATGTACATTGTATACAATCAAACAATAATCATTACATGTACAGATTGTATAAAATCAAACCAGACTATAATCATTACATGTATAGAAACACACCTTAAACAAATTATTATAACTACAATAACATGTACATTGTATAGAGACAAACCATGACCCTTACCTACAGAGAATCAAAGCATATAGAACCAAAATCATTACATAGACCACTTCTTATGTATTTCAGTGGGTAAATATGATCTGATACGTCACTGTACATATAGGTGATAATTTTTGCTGAACGTGTACTTTTGTTTGCATAAAAATAGGTCATTATAATTAAATGTATCAGATTTACTGATTTTTTTGTGTGTGAAACATTTTGCGTTATATAATGCTGCACACTACTGAGCCCATCGGGTTCTTTGATTGTTTATACATGTATAAACAAAATGTCGATGATAAGATGTCAATGATAAGATGCCACACTTGATTTCAAATCATCACTGTTCTCTTTTTTCCAAATTGTCCATTATGTCTACATTACATGTCTGACTGTTATATATACAGTGTACTAGAATTATATCTTATGAAAATATGAAAATACAATTTTTTTGGAAGGATTATGTAAATCGTGAATATGAACAATGTCAACTTATTTAGAAATATGATAATTTGTGGCTTTAACTAAGTTGCAATCGTCACTTTAAGGAATGCTTAAATGTACACATGCATATTGGCAAAAAGACCCACAGAAATCACACTGCCCCTCCCCCTTCACGCCTTTGTCTGCAGACTAAATATTTAAAAGATTCATTAGTAAATACACTGTATATAATGGATGTGAGTTAATCATTACTGAATGTGTAATAATTTTAAATTTTATTTTTGTACCTCATACCTAATATAATTTAAACCTAAATTATCTTACATACACAAGTAATTTTACTTTTAGTTGAGAAATAAAAACACAACTTTACACCTAATTTATTTAGTAAATCTTGAGGAATTCCAATTTTCTTTAAGATGTTAGTTGGCGCTGACCTAAAAAATACTTGTACATTGTTATGATTTGGTTCAGTATGTTGTGTTTGAAGGGAATAATGAATTTTTTGGCTGTTAAAATCCTTTACTTGATATTTAAAGGTCAGGTTTTAACCCCGTGCTTGCAAATTTATGCAGTATGTTGCAAAAAACTCCAAAAAGAAAACATTTTTAAAAACATCATATTTAAAAAGTTGGTGGAATGGAAAGTCTTTGATCAAGTTAGGATGTTTGAATTAATATGACTTGGATATCAAATTTATGCAGTATGTTTCAAAAAGAAACCATTTTTGAAAACATCAAAGTCAGAAATCGTTGGAATGGAATAGTCTTTGATCAAGTTAGGATGTGTGAATTAATGTGACTTGTATATTTAAAATTTGGTTCTGAAAATGGGGATTTCGAGATTAAAAGGTTAAAGGGGTCAAGTACGAGTAGAAAGTCCAATATAAATATACAGTTTTCTTTATTAGAAGCATATTACATGTATTTCCAAAATTATTCAAATCAATCACAACGAACTGGGTTGACCATTTAAAGATTACATTAGTTTATGTACAAAGATAACCATTCTGAAACCGTATCCATTCGAGCCAATCCATTAATATTTTCTTGGATTAGTTTGCTAAAATCGTACATGGCAGGTCCATTAAACTTCATACATGAATAAACGTAAATGAACTTATAGCCCCAGTTAAGACATGTCACTTTTTGGTAAACACGTTGAGTGAGTGAAGCGGTGGCCAGTATTTTATATATTATAATGCATGGTAATTCAGTTACCATAGAACATACATGTAATATATAAAGATGATTACATTACAGACTATATCTTTACATAAATTAACTGAAAATTTCAAGTAAATACGTCGTTTGTGGATTCGGGGTTGAATGTCAAATTCAATCATTCATTGCCCAATAAAGATTTGATCTCGTAAAAGATATGGAACAACAATTGCGCTTCTTATTTAACACCTGTTATAAGTTGGTTAAAATGAAAACATGATGAACTGAGCAATATTAAATCTTTCTTGTCATATTGATGGATAGCAAACTTGAATTTTCTCCATAATTTGACCAACTAAAATTAGCCTAGGCTTGACCTAGAACTGTTCGCTTACTAGTAAACGTATAGTTAGGATTTTGCCTTTTCAAATACCGCTAAGTAAAGAACGTGTCTGTAACACACAAGAAAAGATGAAAGCTATAATAAATGTCTTTTCTAATCAACCATTGGTATGTGTCACGGCTGTCTCTTCCAAACTTCAATTCAGTGTGAAACTGCTATGATAATTTGTATATTCATGAAGTTACTTACATGTAGTCATGTAGACTTGACATGAATATGTGGTTATTGACAAAATGTTCTATTTTCGTTTCAAAATGGACCATTAACTTTCATTAATTGGTTTTGTTAAAAGCAGAAAAAGTAGATATAGTTGAGTTTGATAAAATTTCAGATAAAATAAAAAAGGAGTCTTATTGAAGTTAAAGTTAATGACACTTAGTATAAATCTTAAAAAAATGATCTTAAAAATTTAAGCAAAACACTTAGGGGCAATAGACTTTATATTTGGATGAAAGCTAACCTTTTACAAAGTTTTACCGACGACTAACATACGATAATACTTATTTGACCCTTGTGCCAAAAGGTAGGGATTATATTAAGAATCGTTTAACTAAATTGACGCCCAATCCTTTCACTAAACAACAATACATTTGGCACTGTCCAAATGACCAGAGGGCCTAGTAAGGTTTACAATACAAATGATGACTTTTTAAGCTGTGAAAGTCAATCAATAAAAAGATTAGTTTAGTAGATTTGAAACGATGTGATGTCGTGAGGTGACTATTTAAGTCCATTATAAATTAGTTGACATTGTTCATCAATGGCAATAGTAATATCTGGTTAACACAATTGTTAATTACTAATGAGTTTTACTAATGACCAACCTGTGTAGCTATGGCGTTTGTTACACTAATTACTGATGGAGACTTTTCTAGGTGACATTTTCACAGTGCTATTAACACGTTTTGGCATTGTTGTTCACAAGTTAGTAAACTACCAAGGATTTCCTAACGTTAAAGAAAGGGACCAAAGCTTGTTTTATCTCCAAATTATGAAAAAATTTGATTCCATAATTAAAAAAACAACACATGCTCCCATACAAATAATGTTCGTCATAAAATATATTTAATCCCCCTTTATCAACGTTATGAGCCAATAAATTTGATTTTGTAGACAATTAAGACAAAACAAGTTGTTTATTTTAACTACGTCATTGATACAGTAGTACAAGAAAACACTGAATTCTGGGAAGTAGTAAACCTCCTTTGTACTTTTTAAAGTGAAGCCGGCATGGTAAATTTATAAAATTACTAGATTTCTGTTCATACTGTTGAATTAACCCATAGACCCGTTGAGAAAGAAACCGTTTCTTATAATTAGTTTCACTCCTGTCTTTATTTATACACACCACGTAAACTGAAGAGGGCACGAAAAGGGCCGAACACCAGTCATCAAATTGGACATGATTTATATATCGGTGGAAAATTTCTATCAACTTGTTCATGGTCTTGTAAATAGTAGCCTAAAACTGATAACTGAACATTTAAAAGTGTTATTGCTTCAACACTGCAGTGTTTCATAGTTTAAATGAAGATGACTTTAAAGTAGGTAGCAGTTGAAAATTTAAACGTGCTATTATTACTTTAACACTACAGTGTTTGATTGTCAAATGAAGATATGACTTTAAATTGTGCAGACTATTTTAGACCGACAATATTTATTAAAAGGATAATAATTCAGGATACATATAGTATTCGTACCGAAACAGATAAATATTTAGGCTTTCTTATACAGTCATGTTAGTATATCCTTTAGTTTTCGTACATAGATGTGCTTAGATAACAGACCCACTTGTTTTACTTTTGAGATATTTCTGAACCATTTAGCTTGGTGTCCCTTTAAATGAAAATTCC